ATAAATTCCAAAAATAAAAGCTCCAAACTCGAATTATGTAATATAAAACAAAAAATAATCCGATATTAAAGAGATCCATGTTATTGAAATATTAAATGATTGTGAAATATCTAAAACTTCTATATCTATAAAAACTTCACTATCATCGATATTTCTAGAAGATATATTGGATGTACAAACTATAACGAAAGCATTGAAAATATTAATAAAAATGAATATAGCTCAAACAATAAAATGAAAATTCTTTCTAAAAATATAGAAGCATCCAAAATGTTATCAGATATTTGAAAATACTAAATCTTACGTATCAATTCAAAAAACTATACAGTTGTTCTATACATTACTTAGCAATTTGGATAAATCGAAGAAAAAGTTATTGATTAAAACATGAGATAATAAATATATTTAACATCAAACATAACAAAGTCTATCAATCATTGTCACTATTCTTTATTAATTTACAACAGAAACATAATAATAAAGAAATATACCAAATAAAGATGCTAATGAACTGCATTATTCAAATCGAGCTGTCCGACAAAAAGAAAAATAGTACAATATAAAAAATGTTAACAATATGAATACATAACAATACTGCAATCTTAACTTTCGCTGCGTGAAATTTTATTATCGATTGCATAAAATCAATTGATATCCCAGCAAATGCGCGCTATGCGAAGATGATTATTTTTCCGATAATAGAAATCACCTCTATAGTTTATAAGGAACTACAACAATAAATTTTCAAGACAGAAATCCAAAATACTGTCTAATCGACTAATAACATACATAAATATAATACATTAATATTAATCTATGCAAAAATAATCAAATAACATTCTTCAAATAATTAATTAAATAACATTCTTTCAAATAATTCAAAGAATCATCAACAACGATCGATAAACATAATACTATGAACAATTTCAATATCTTCATACAGACTATAGAAAAACTTTTCAGCAAATTAAAAAAACTAGAGCAAATTCTAATAAAATAAAACAAACAAATCAGTCTGCTAACTCTACTGACAATAATATTAAAAATAACTTATAAAACTATATATATCACTTTCTATATATATCACTTATATCACACATGGAATGCAAACGGATTCATATGTCACAAACATGAGAAACTTTCATCATTTATCAAAAAATTTAAATTGTATTAGTTATCGAAATTCATTTTAGTAAAAAAAATTATTAAAAAATAAGAGGCTATGATATAAATATAATACAATATCCGTGCAGCAGAACACATGGTGATATTGCCATAATAATAAAATCTAATATGAAACATTACGTACTTTTAATTTACAATCACGATTATCTGTAATCAACGAACATATACATCTAAATATACAGTTTTTAAAGAAGATTTTAATATTTTTTTTTAAATGTAAATAATAAATTTCTAATACGAAGCGATTTCAACAAAAAAAAAATGACTTCTGGGATTCGGGAATCATAAATTCAAGAAATAAAACATTTGTACAAATTAATAAATAAACTAATACAAAAACTGGAGAATCCATTTACTGAATTACATGAATAAAATACCAAATCTCTCTCTCATTATTAATTGTCGAAATTAATTATTGATATTGATATTGTCAAAAGTCTCTCACTTCATTATATACAAAATATATTCTAATATTAATCTTTCGTTCAACTATCGTAATTCTAATATATCTAATAGTTGAGACACATCACAGACTTTTCATAATAAATACACAAACTGAATAATAATATATTTTTCCGTCAAATTATTAATGTCTCAATTAAAATATTCTTTATTAAAAACAGAGAATGATGTAAAGGAAACAATGAATTATCTAACAAGTCATATCATAAAAGTAGTTAAATCTGCAACTCCTGCAACAGTTTCATTATTCCTGTTTCATTATCCAGAATTCATTATAAAACAGATTGCTGAAAAGAAAAAACATTATATGGTTTTTTCTAATAACAAAAGATTATTGAATAGAGTAATCAGGAAACTCACTTGATTATTAGCATAAAAATAAATCCTTCAGCGAATATTTAAATAACCTGACACTAACTAAAGAAACTAATTACTTCCTCTGAAAAGTATTCAAAAGAATCATAAAATCACAAATAAAAATTTGGAACCAGGATGCTAGACTAGGAATTCTCAAGAAAAAACAGATTCAGTACTTTTTCACTAAAATATTTAAATTCTTTCTCACAAATTCTCAAATAACAAAATCTGAAATTTAAGAGTACTTGCAAGTTCTCTATCAGTTTTCCTGTCATATCACATTTGAAGAAATCAAACTAATATATAAGTTTGTACATATAAATACAATAATTTAATGTAACCACTATAAGTTACTTCACATGTTACAATATAATGTCAACAAATTTATTTATAATTCCATGAGAGGAATTAATCGTAAATACCTTAAATCAAAAAAAAAAAAAAAATTGTAAAGCACGATGCACTAGATAATATCGAAAAAAAATTCATCAATATCAATATGACGGTATCTCTTTCTATTTACAAATAATGGAGCGAAAATGCGTTGAAGAAAAGAAAAATTAAATACATTCGAAAAGATCATTTTCAATAATTAGTTTCAATAAATTCGTTTCATACATATGTTTAGTATTTTATTTCCCATTCGATGATTTCTTTATTTGTATTTTCGACAAAACTTTTTATAGTTTTTTTTTTTTTTCATTTATTCAAATAATACCTGGACTCGCATTTCTAAAAGTTTCTATATATGTATTATAATACATGCATCAAACAATAAATTTAAATTAATAGCTCATAAAATATCAAAAAAAAAAAAAAAAAGAAAAAGAAAAAAAGAAAAATATAGGATATATAATAACAGATCATATCATTATTTATATAAAAAAAAAATGCTATTTTTTTTTTTTGCAATTGACCGAAGAATGTAAATAAATTATAAATAAAATGAATTCGAAAAATAATGGAACTTTTTTCAAAAGAAATACTTGAATTATAACTCAACGGTATCTTTGAAACCCAGAATGATACAAAAAAATTGCAATAAAAAAAAAATTGATTTTTGTTTTTATGTCAAAGATTTTTGCATATTTTTATTATTTTATTTACACATCTTCTTTTTGATTATATTATATATTTTTAGAATTACCCATATATAATATATTAACAATGATATTACTAATAATTTACAATAATAATTTACAATATATTAACAATGATATTACTAATAATTTACAATCATAGTAAAATTAAAAAATTATATACGAATTTTAATAATAGTATTCTTATTGAAAGACAAAGAATACGCGAAAACAAAACATTTTCTTATTCATGTTTTTCTTATCTTGAATGTAAATGAATAAATTTTATAAATTTTAGATTTTATATATACATATATGCTATAAATATTTACAGAATGTTTTATCGAAATCTTTTTATAAAAATTAATAAGTTATATGGATTAATATATTAAAAGTTATATACTTCTATTTATATATTCTAAAGAATAATTTTAAAGAATGAAATTAATTTTCACATGTATACCATACTTTTATATATTCTGAATTTTATTTTCATTATATCAATAATTCATTTTGTTAGGCTTTTAATAAAACAAAAACAATATATTTATACAAGATAGTAAAATTTCAAAAAAATAAAATAGATTTAGATATACCTTATGTATTTAGTATTCGGACATATGATTTGCTACAAAATGTATATATATATAAAAATCCACATTCTATAAATGGAATTTTCATTATCGGTATTTAAGTACAGATCCTCTGTTTTTTATTATAGATAGATGATATTGTTTTTTTTAACAATAAGATTATAAAAACCTATATAGAAACAGCAATAAAGTGAAAGCATTCAGCTGGCAATAAAATGTTGCTTATATAGCGAAAATCTTTAACGAAAAAATATACAAATGGCTATTTTTGAATTTTAATAGAGTATAATATACAATATATATAAATATACAATGTACAATATATATTTGTAAATATAAATATATAATATAACTATATGTAATATATTTATATCGCTTTAAAAAAAAAAATTTTATCATTTTTAATTACATTTAAACATATTAAAATCTATATACTAATATAATATAAAATCTCATATAAATAAAATCTCATACTAATATTTCTTACTCAATATTTCTCATTTTGATACGAGATTGCGAATTTAAAAAAAAGTAATAATCGAAATTCAAAATCACATTTAATCACATATTAATATTAATATTATATTAATATTAATATTATATGTATTCAGTATGTTCTTCATAATATAAATATATTTTTTAAATAAAATTTTTTTTAAATACAATTCTATAATTTTCAAATAAATTTTTAAATAAATTTTCAAATAATATAAATTTATAGAAGAACTTACAGAAGAAACGATCTTTAGGGATAATATAATATATAATAAAAACTTTTATTCCTCGCTAAATAAAAAAGAAAGATTCCACAATTATAAATAATTTTTTCGGTTTTTCTTTTTCTAATTCCGTAATTTCTATTTTTTTATATTTTTATTTTAAACAAATTAATCTTCTATTCACCATTTCATTTTATTTTCTATTTTATGATATTTTCTCGATCTTTAAATTTACTATTGTTCACTCACTTTGTTCTATGAATCTATTTTTTTTTGTTAATTCTTTTTGCAAGTTATGTTTAAAATTAATTATTTGTTTCTAAACCTTTTTGTGTTTCTGTAAATTTATTAATTGTTCATTGTTGTCATAATTGTTATTTGATTATATTTTAAGTGCATTATAAATTATTCATATGATATATAAATATAATTTAATTGTTTTTTAATTTCCTTTTCAAATTTTATTATTTTATTTTATTTGTCTTTTCTGTTTCATTTTCTAATATGATTGAAATAAATTCAATGTATTTTTCTAATATTGATATAAAATAATTTTCGATTTATATGTGTTCAAAATAAATGATATTATTTTATCATTTCAGGCGCTTATTTTATGCTTATCAACCAGTGGATTACAAACAGAAAAAAGTGATTGGAATTTTGATCCAAATACACAATATCACATTCAAACAGATGAAGGACCTGAAAGATATTTTCGTTTTCAAACATTAAATGGACAATATAGAAAAGAAAAAAGATTAGTTGATGGAACAGTTATTGGTACAGAAGGATGGTTAGATCCTCTTGGATATTTACGACTTAAAGACTATATAGCAGATAACAACGGATTTCGAATTTTAAGGTAAATATATAATATATAATTATAAATAAATAAATATATAATTATAATATTTCAGAAATGTTTTAAAAATGTATTTAACTTAAATATTTTAAAAATATAGTATTGAATGTTATTATTTTTTTAAATTTGTATAAAATAGAAATAAAAGAAATAATCATATAAAGAAATAAACAATTTTTTTAAAATATGCAATAATAATGACAATATCTCTATAAATAATATCTTTAAATAACTATTAAAATGAACAATCATGATACATCATTATTTTTGTAAAAAAAAAATCGTTTTATTGAAAAAAAATAAGGTAATTAGGTAAAAAAATAAAAAAATAAAAAATATTTTTTACTTTTTTACCTTATGTGTATATATATGCACGTAATACAATTACAATTGAATATCTGAAAAAATATTCATTACAAATAATTTTTGAAATGAATACTATAATATAAGTATAAAATATGTGATATGAAATATAAAATTAATAATAATAAAAAAAATGGAATAATTTAAATTTTTGTATATTATAAAAAAGAATAGAATAAAAAATAAAATAGTAGTTGAAATAAAATATTTGATAAACAAAGATACAATAAACATAATTTTTTAAAATATTCGTTATCTAATATTTTGCGATATTTACATATTTAAATATAACTTATTATATATCTTGATATTGAAGTATTAGCTACATTTAACTAAGATTTTACTTTTTCATTATTTTCTTCTTTCAAGAAAAAAATAAAAAATATTATATATATTTTTATATATATTTATAAATATTGAAAAACTACTGTTATTTTTAATAAATAATAAGCTATGAACTTATGATTGATATTGTGATATTCAAATTATATAAAATTAGAAGTAATTATGTCAGCATAAAAGCTTTAGTAATTAGAATAATAAAATTATAGAGAACAGATATTATTCCTCAAATATCAATTTTGATTAATTCAACGAATATTAATAAATATTATAAACTTCTTTTATATGATCTTTAATAAATATTATAAACTTAATTTTTTATAAAATATATTCTAGAAAGATTGATTATAATTGATATAATTGATAACTTTGATACAAAAAAATTGAAAATAATAAATCTGATGTTAATTCTTTTTATTTCAAGACTTTTTGTTATTCGAAGACAGCAATTTAAACATATTTCTTATAAATAATAATAAATGACAAATGAATCGCTTTAAATTCAATTATATAGCATTAGACCAATTACAAATCTTTCTATTTATATAAGCAATACTTTTTTACGTGAGTTTCTTTTTATAGATAATAATTTTTATAGATAATTCCACGGTTTCAATTTATGCAGTCTCATTTTACATGATCTTTTTCTTTTTTTTTTAATGATTATTTTTGTAAAGAATAACTTAACTCAGAGTACTATTAAAAACTGTAGATAGCAAAATTTAATAATTAATGTTATGTTGCTTCAATAATTTATTTATACAAAGCATCAAATAACTGCAAATAATTATGCCAAACAATTTAAGTTATATGAAAAGCGAATCAACTATAAACTACGAATAAATATTATGCAAACATTTTAATAAGTAATTAAATTTATTTAAAATAATGTTATTCGAAATTTTTAACTTTTATTTTCTCAACAAATTAATACTAAGAATTAATGCTTATTAATATACAATTATCATTTGAATTGACTGCAATTGAAATTAATATGATAAAATATTAGATCACTAATTAAGAATTGTATAATTGATAAAATCATTTTTTTAAATCATAAAAATCATCAAAAATTATTTATTTAAGTAATAACTAAAATTATATTATTAAAATCTATATATAAATATAATATATATA